GTGACCAGCCGCCCGCCCAACCGCTTCCAGCAGCTGCTCGGCATGTCGCTGCACGGGGACCCGCTGCTGCCGCCCTCGACGCTCGGCAAGGCTGACAGGCCTGGTGAGGTGGGGTGGGCCATGTGGGGCCGTGGTGGGTTTGAGAAGCGCTGGGTGGCATGGGGTTTGAAAATCGGCACTCCCCTGAGGGAGGAGGTTTACCTGTCCTTGCTGGTGGCTGCTCAGTTCACCCGGTGTAGGAAAACGGTTGTTCTTCATGCGGGTAGGTCTGCTGCCAGTAAGCATGGGTAACATGATTTGCATGTGTTTCAGTCTGCCTGTAGAGTACAATACAGTCCCTGTTGTGGACTACACTGAGAACACCCTCACGCAATCTCTGTGGAGCTGGCACAGCTTTACCAGATGAATGTTACTCCTCCTTGCCCGTCAGTAGGGATGCTTAATAAGATCTCATTAAATCTGTGTGAAGTGATGGGTCATGTGAAATGACAACTAGAGCATCCTGTCAGTTTTGTACAAAGGAGAAAAGACCTGGTAGTGAGATTCCTGTCGGTTGTCTCCTGAAAAAGAATTGCAAGCTAGATAGTTTTTAAAGAGGATTGAATGAGTAGGTGTGAGCTAAATAGAAAATAATGTTGTTAAAGAGCCCCAGAACATGTTTTCTTTCTTTCTAACCCTCCTTGAGGGGATCTGAGTTTTCCAAGACAAGTCTGAGCTCTCAGAGGATTATTCCACAAATTCCATATAAGCTTGAGTGCACTGTAGTTGATGCTGTGTAAGGAAGATGTGAATATCTTGTTTTGCAAAGCTCTTAGTCTGATTGAACTGTGGGCTGCTACCAGAAGGGCAGCCCTACTTCCCATTCCCTCGGTCCCCTGTTAACCATCACCTTCCTTGCAGCAGCTGTGTTGGTTAGGCACAATGATCTGAGGAGAAGACTCGAGCGGCCTTTTTGCGGCTGGCTCTGGGGCCAGGGTGATGCACCGCGTGGGTGCAGAGCTGTAAGGCTCGGTGCGGGAGAAGTGGCAGGACCGCGCGACCAGGAGAAGGGGAGAAGCAGTTGGTGGTACTGCTTCCTGCAGCACCAGCCCGCATTTAGAACAGAGTAGGATATCACAGTACTTATTGTTGGTTACTGTTTCAGAGTAGGAATTGTCATCGAATTCATGTGGTGTTTTCTACGATGTGTGTGGAGCTACACCTGTAATACCAAGAAAACAAAATGAAGCATTTGAGAAGGGAAGGAACTTATTTCAATACCGAGGCTAGGAAGCATTTAAATTAAAGATTTGGTGTTAACATTGTTAAGACTGCGATGAGTCATTACAGACTTCTTCAATGAAATCTGGTCTGACTGATGTAATGCAGGCCATTGGTAGAGTAAATGCTAAGAAAGATAATAGCCTTTTAATTTTTTGGCCTCTGTTTTTATGGGTGCAGTTTTAGACAGCTTTTGCTCTAGGAGTCTCAGTTTCTAGAAAGACAGAAAGAACAAGGAAAACATCGGGTTGTATATGCAGTCGAGTTCTGACGGGCTGTGCACTCTGTACTGACTATTTAGGGGCATGTCTTTGCTGTAAATGTGAGGTAATTTGACAGATAAAAGATATTATTGTTTGCAAAGCGTCATCTGTTCCAAATGTCTTGCAACATGTAACTCTGTGTTAAACATCCAGGAACAATTCCTGTGAAGCAACTGAGGCTTTGTAACTTGGCATCCTGTGGTGTCTTATGTGTTAAAACTAGACAGTCTTAATTTCCCTATCCAAAAGTAAAATACAGACAAAGGAATTCTCATACCTCTGCTCATTCTCTGTTTATATGTGGTAAAAATGCTGAACAGGAAATAAACAGTCCTATACATTAACTCTTAATAAATTTTCAGGGCCAGGTGGTATTTATTTAGCGATTCCTAATGATTTAATATGGACTTGCAGAATAATGACTGTATGTTACCCATTTCTTGAATTAGTTCCCATCAGAGGAGTGAAAGAGGTAAACATGAGGCTATTTTTTCAAAAAGTCCTTTAGAGTGAGAACTGGGAACTACAGGTCTGAGAAAGCCTGGCTTCTAGATAAACCCTACTGACGTAAACTATCTTGAAACTTGTAATTAGCATGGCTATATACAACCCTGCGGAAAAGTCACAAATGCAGTAGTTCTTTTAGGAATTCGATGAGCACAGGTGTTTTCGGTGTTACTGTCAGTGTTTCAACAAAGTCACCAAAACCTCTAACAGAAATAGAGCTGTCATGGTATAGGAGCAAATACCATTTCATGAAATAATAACTGACTAAGAGAGGAAACTAAGAGAAGAATAAAAGGAATACCTAAGAAATAACAAAATGGCAAAGTTTGGGATATTTTACTCTAAACTGAACTAGTTGAGGTGACTGGAAAAAAGTTGGCTTTGATTTTTTTTTCTTGACAAATGACTTGTCATAAAGTACTTTCAAAGTCACTTGGAGGATTTTGACACTGTGAGCTGTCAACATTGGAGTTTGGTAAAGTCTTGCTTTATGATTTCCCTTTTTTTTTTTTAACATATTGTCTGATTTAACACACTACTTTCTAAATTACTTTGGTTTGGTTTGGTTTGGTAAGTTGCTACGCATTTTGATTTATAGCACATCTCTAAATACTGATAACTTGTTACTGTAAGTTTAAGGAGATTGAATGCTACACAGACAGCTGTGCGTTGGCACTGCACTAATATGCCACTGGATATGGCATATGCCATATGCATATGGATATGCCATATGCATTCTGGATTAAGTACATTGGAGCAAAGGTATGTGGGTGTTATCCCAAATAATGCTGTAGAGCCTTGGCTCCTCATGTTGCCTTTCATTGCCTGTGAAAACTCTTTTCCTTAACACTTGTTTCACTTTATTTTGTACCCACTGCAGGATTGCTGAGTGTAGGACAGTTTCATCAACCTTATCATCGAGACAGTTTCCTTCCTTACTCCTACATACCGACCTCATCCCAGAACCACGGCACTTTACCAACGGAAGGTTTAGATCGGACTCCAGTCCCGGATTCCAGAGCGTGGCAGGGTTCTCTTGGGTTGCTTCCAGGGCATGAGGCTTCCTCAACTTTTCCAAATAAAAGGGTTGCCTTTCCGGTACTCCAAAGGTTTCCAACAGAGGTCACATACACACTCCAGCCTGTTACCTCTCTTCTGCCGCTTCAGCAAGGGTCTCAAACCATTGCCACTTCCCTTCCAAAATACAGCAGCTATGCATCTTCAGTGCAGTACTCGCAGGCCTACTATCCAACAGGTACGAAAAAAATTTCTGCACTTGCTTTTCAAAAAGATATTTGAAAGTGATACTTTTAAATATTTTTCTGCAATGCTCTGTCGTGTATATCTCAAGTGAGAATTAGATAGAAAGTGTAAAGTCTAAAAAGAAGAGAGAGACCTTTAAAGCAAAAAGATTTTCTGTTTGGTATTCCTGTCCTTCCTCCAGATTTTGAGCGTCCCCTGGTGATTTTCCAGATAGCCTCTCTGTTGAGGTTAAAGGGCGAGGAGAAAAACATTTGTCCACAACTAGTCAGTGTTAGGCTAACTTTCATATTCTTTTTAATTAAGCAAAACTAGGACAATGATACTAAAGCACTGAGAACTTGTTGAAAAGTAGTATACTAGTCCTTGGTCTCATGTTTTCCCAGGTTAAGTTTTTAAAGTCAAAGATCAGTCAAAATATTGTGTAGAATATTTCATTCTGCTCATACTATTGTCATATGTTTTTTTTCTTGCTTAGCTTCTTTACGTTGTATTTTTTTATGCACTGAAGACTAGAAAGTACAGAAGTCTTGACTCCTTTCTTTTGTCTAAAATGTTTCTGCTAAAATTTTCAGCCTTACTTAAGTGTTTTTATTCTTCAGAACAGAAGTTGAAGCAAATTATTGTTCTTTTCCTTGCTCTTACCTTGAATTGGAAAAATCACGTGATAGGTTATTTTTTTGGGGCTGGTGGTGTGGTTTGTTTGTTTTTTTTTTTAATTTCCCTAAAACTTCTGAAACTCAGAACATAGTGACTCTTTCCACGAACAAACTAAAGCTCAGTTATTATCCTTTCCTTCTGCCTGTTCCTCCCTTGGCAGCTGCACCTTCACTAAGATAGATATCCCTGTTCAGAAATCCTACATGTGATGGCTGCTGTCTTTCTCCAAGTACACAGTGAAGTCTTCACATCTTTTGTGCGTGTCTTCTGAGACCTCTGCTGAGAACGTTTTGGACAATAATCACTAGTTTCCATAACATCATTTTGTCAAGGAAGGATTCTGAGGAGCTAGGTGTTTCTTGTGGACACTCTTAAATGTTTAAGAGACAGGCAGCTTTTGCCATATGCTCCTTGCCCCGTGCTACTTACAAAGATCACTGCGGTGGTTGGAGCCTGCATTACCAGCTGCAAACTATTAAGTCTCCTCCCACGAGCAGGGTGTCCTGAGAATCATAGAATCACAGAATGGTGTGGGTTGGAAGGGACCTTAAAGATCATGTGGTTCCAACCCCGCTGCCATGGGCAGGGACACCTTCCACTAGATGAGGTTGCTCAAAGCCTCATCCAGAATACCTGCTTAAGGTGGGACATGGTCCCCGCTTCATGTTTCTATCGGTTACAGAGCATAGGCAGAAATTCATCATAATGAATTTTAGATGTCTATATCTCAACTAGTCCCCCAGACCTCTTCTCTAGTCAAGGGAAGGAACTGGGCATCTCTAGGGTGCGATTCATATAGCCTGGTTTAGAGTTTGTCTTGGGGTGAGATTGCTCATGTCCTGAAGTGCCTGTTTTGCAGTACTGACTGTAGAGGAGTTGAGGGAGACTAGCGTAGATTTAGACATGAATGTGTAGATCTCTGTAACTGGATGACGCTCGTTTCCTTCACTGAAATTATAAAAGTTTAAAGAACAAATTGGCTATGTTATACAGGTAAAATCTTCCAGGGCAGGAGGTGGGGGGGAGAGCATGATGAAAGCATACCAAATTTTGCAAGGTACAAAAATTAAGGTGTAATTCAAACTAAAATAGAGAAACTTACGGAATCTGAGGCTTTTGAAAATTCCAATGAATTCATTAGTACTTCTGAGAAGATAAGTTCAACATTTCACTAGAGAGTACTATAAATCTTGTAATTTTCACTGTCACTTAGGACTGTCTCAGTGTTTTTACTTCTGTTCCTGTGTATCTCTTAATCTCTCCGCTATCCTTTCTTCTGTATATTATAACATAGAGAATGCTGAAAGCTTATTTCTTCATACGTCCACATGAAGAAGTCTGCTTTCCTTCATCTTGAGAGCACCGCACCGAGATTAGCTTATGTGGAAAGTGATAGTTAATCTTAAAATATGTATTTCATAAGTGAGGGGACTAAAGAATATATGTTTGGTCTTATTCTTGACTCTTTTCATTTCACTTTTGAAGTCCCATTAAATTAAATCAAAGTAGAACTTTGCCAAAAGATTTATGTATATTCAAACTTGTTTGTTAACTTCAGCGACAAAAAGATTTCCCTGGTTTTTCATTATGATTCTTATTGAAAGGGCAGTAAAATAAAAGCTGCTCATCTGGATCTTTTTTCCCGCTAGCATTAGACCATAATCATTTTAAGGATTTAGTTCTGTTTGCTTTCAACTATCTGCAAAACCTTTGATAGTAGGAGGATTGCATCAAATAAATGCAGTGAAGCTTTATTATCAGAGAGTATCCTAATAATGAAAAATCAGTCAAGGAGACTATGTGAGAAATGTTAGTTATTGGTGCCACCTGACATTGCAAGTCCAGTCATGCCTTTTGAATACCTCCGTGGCTGTAGGGTTCATTTACATATGATAACCTTTCTGGTGAGTGGTAGCTTAGGATTAGTCATGTTATTCTGAATGATACGCCCTCTGTTAAGATAAATCATTTTCTTTGTATGTAAGGCTTAAAATTCACATGGTCAGAAGGGGATTCTTAAATGAGCAGCTGAAAACATCTGTTTTAACACAGCATGAATAACACCATATTTTCCCTTGAGAAAAGCAGACTAGATGCATTAGTAATGCACTTGTAAAACTAGTTGTAGGATTCATCTTGCCTAAGATTCATCTGAATGTATAATAGTTAGTTGTATATGCCTGGGCTTGTCATCTGGATTACATATATAGTCAGTAGAGAGAAACAGGCACCTCCCAGAGGTTGAGTCATTCCAACTTTCTTAGACGTATGCCTTTGGAAGACAATTCATTTCTTTCTGATGCGCCTATTTGTTCATTGACTGTGCGGAGAGTTGACAACTGCTAGGCATCTGAGTCTCTGTAACAGTAAGGCAATTAATCCCACCACAGTGTCTAAGTTCAAAGAACATTGTCTTGCCTATTTTCCCTTATTGAAGAGACCTTGCGTATCATCTTCATTTTGGTTGGTAAAGGATCGGAGCTGGCATATTTTTTGTATCCAGGCCCATTCCGATGTGTTCATTGACCTGGCAGGAACAGGCACAGCTGCATTCCCTAATTTCCTGCACAGCTTTGAGTACTGTTGACCCAGTTGTCTGATGAGTTACTAGCTTCTCTTAGGCATAACTTTTGGACCTGACATGATAAGTTCACACTGAAAGGATGATCTTAAGGTTCTTCCTTGGTATTTCCCATGTAGTGCGTGCTCGAGTGGAATGGAAGATGCTGGAGTGTCAGCCTATGCCCTTTGGCCCAGCTGAGCTGATAATAACCCTTATTAATGTCTGTTGCTGTCTTGAATGCATAGAGATGATACGTGTGTTCCTTCGATTTCCAGCAGACCTTTGGAGAAATTATGATGGTTGTTCAAGCCTGGAAAAGTTCTGCTGCTGGTCGTATTTGGTTTGCGTTTATTTTTGGGCTTCCAGCTTTCCTGAGCTTGCATGTAGTACTGGAACCTGTAAAAAGCATGCAGTACAAATGTGTACACATCAAACTGTAAGCATGGAGCTTTTTGATGTTCTTAGATTTTATTTATATTTAGGTTCTAACTGCCAGATACATTTGGCAAGATATATCTTTGCTAAAACCATGGCTGAGCTCAAGCATAGCTGTCTGTGTCCATGCTACTGTATTAGACTTTGCCAGGATGTCTAGATCAGTTCTATCATTAGATCGTTCGCCCGGTTAGCACTCTCCCCCAGAAGTGCTGTGCTTAGTTCAGCGGTTGGCGTGGGCTTGGGACCATTCCCAACAGGCTCTTTGGATGTGGCTGTTTTGACTTGGAAGAGTAAGAGATTTTAATAGTATCAACAGACTCTGTGCCAGAGAATGGGTCTGGATGCGTTTAGTTTACTGGTAGAGCTGTAGCCTTCGTGTCTTCAGCAAAGATTATGATTGATTTGTTCTTCTCTGTTGAAACATTGAGACCCCACAAAATAATATTGTCTCAAGAGGAAGAAGATGTATATAAGAATGTGATGTTAGTATTGTCATCTCTCCAGCTAAATTCCACGTGCTTATTTTTATACAATTCATCCAGTTTTTCCACTGTTGAGAAAACAGGGTTTAGTGAATGCCTCAATAATTCTCCAATGAGTAGTTCTCTGCTTTGGAGATAAGAACACTAGCCTTGATCAGACCAAATGTCCATATAGCTCATCATTTCCTCTGACAGTAGTGCCCAAGGAGGAGTGCAGGAGTAGAGCAAGCATGGACTGATGCTTTTCCTAAACACTCCAACAGTGTGGGCTCCGGGAATTAATGAACCATAACACGAGTTGTATTTAATAGCCCTCAGTGGATTTCGCTTCCATGAACTTGTCTGTTTCTCCCAACCAATGTAGACTTGTGGCATATATGACATCATGACAAGGACTTCATTTCACAGCTTGATTGCATTTTGTGCAAAGAGCCACCTTCTCTTGTCTCTTTTGACACTACTGCATATTCATTAAATCTCCATTTGGTTTTTGTGTGAATGTGTCTATATCCTTATCCCTCTCACTGCACCATTCGTGATTTTAAATACTTCTATCTTAGTTCCTTCAGTTGCATTTTCTCTAGAATGGAGAGTCCTGCCCCACTTAGCTGTTCCTTCAGGAAAGTGTTCTGTACATCATCCGTGTCGCCTTCCCTGTAACCTGTTCTGTTCTTACTGAGATGTAGAGTCCAACAATATACATGGTGGTCAAGGTATGGGTGCATCATGGATTTATACAATGGAGTAATAATGTCCCTGTTTAATTCTCTGTTCCCTTTTGTATTATTTCCGAACAATCTGATTGTTTCATTTGTGACTTTGGAGGTCTTTTTGACAGCTGCTGAGTGTCAAGCTGATATCTTCCTGAAACTATCTACTATAATACCAAGACCTAGTTCCTGATTATTGATTGACAGCTAAGAACCCATCATTTTCTGTGTGAAATTAGTTTATTTTTCCGAAGTGCAGAGCTTTATTTGGTGGGTGGTGGCTTTGGGAAACCCATAAGGAGTTCTTTTTTCACATCTTCATAGTTGACTGCTCTTTTCTGACATGAATAACTTGGTATTATCAGCAAGCATCACCTCACTACTCACTCAATTTTTGAAGTACTTTATTAAAATGATGAGCAGCATGAGTTCCAGTGCAGGTCCTTGGGGACCTCCACTGGTGACCTCACTTACCTGTGAAAAGTGACTATTTATTCCTATCTTCTGTGTTGTATCTTTAAAACAGTTTTTTTTTTAAATGTACAGCCTTCCCTCTCGTGCTGTTGTTGCTCATTTTTCGTAAGAGTTTCTGACGATGACTTTGGTAAAAGCTTTTTGGAAATCTACATATCATATCAGCAAGATCACAGTTATCCATGTTTGTTTACCTACCGGAGGTCTTTCAAGAAGGCAGTGAAGGGTGACTTCTCTTAAACAAAAAGAAGTCTTGTTGACTCCTGCCTATTATATATTATCCAGTGTCAACTAATTCTCTATTCCATTGTATTTCCTTCTATTATTCTTATTCAACTGTCAGATTTATAACTTGTATTTGCTTATAAATTTTTTGTTAACAAACTTCTAAATAACTTCCTTTAAAAGTATTGATTTCTTTGCCTGATTTCTTTGCAACCTCTTTGGATATCCAAAGGTATTTTCAGTATGTTTGAAATATGGTCATTCGACTTCTGTGCAAGAATACTTGTGATGCAGAGCGCTCAGTCCTTTCCTTGTTCTGTGAACTGTGCTCTTCATTGATCTCTGCTTGTTCTCAGGGGTCCGTTGCTGGGTTGGTTACAGCCCCACTGACAGCAATTCCATTTTCATAAATCAGTGCTCATATCCCGCATATTGTGTCCTAAAGAGCGTGTGAAATTTTCCATCCGTAGCTTGTATGGGCAGAAATATGTCTCTTTTTTGGCAGAAGCCAAATCTATTTAGAGGCTGATCCATCTTGTTTGATGGACGGGGCTGTATCTTTTTCTTAATTTACTCAGTAAATATTCATTTATTCCGTAAGATGCCATTCATCCCTGTCTCCTTAGTATTCAAATGAGATCCGTGTTCACTGTCAGTTATTTCATAACAGCTGGTGACAGAATGTGCTTTAGCTGGTAATTTCTTCTGGGTATCACTAGATTAACTATATCTTGGACAAAACAGCTTAGAAATTTCTTCTCTCCAATTAACAGGGTAGGACAAAAGCATGTGAGTGAAGCAGGTATGTTTGTTGAATCTTGATTCAATTTGAAGACTTGAAGTATTATAAATGAATCGACACCTTCGCTTTTGGTGACGCTGCCTGTCAGTAAATGCTTTCTTCAGTGGTATTTAAAAAGTTGTTGGGCTATATGGTGACTCTCCTTTTGTGACTATGGATGATGAGTGGTACTTATCTAAAATTGACCTCCATTTTACGGTGGATTTGCTTCTTAACTGACTACCGTTAAGACTACGCTCATGTCTCCCGTGATACTTCCACAGATGCAGTTTTTCCTGCTATTAGATCAGTCACTGCCATAGCCTATAAGCTGGCAAAAAGAAGTTCTTGTGAGTGCAAACCATTCTTTTTATGCAACGTTCTGCGTTTTGGAACCATTCAGAATCGGTCATCAGTCTAGTCTTCTACAGTTATTTTTGTTCTCACTTTGATTTACAAACATAACAATTTGTTTGATTAATGAGTTGCTTTTGCTGTAAGCTCTACTAACTGTAAGAATACTGTAATTTATATTTTACTTGTAGCTTTTTATAGCATATGATCTGGACTTAATGTTTTACACTTACCTACTGTTTCACGAGCACTTTTACTCTTCAGGTCCTTCCTTTTCTTTTCTTAGAAAATAGGTTCTTTGTAATATGAAGTGTAATGTGTTTGTTTTTCCTTAGAATCACTCTAGCAGGTTACAAGAAATTTCTCCTTTGTCATTGCTGACTTGCGTTCTTTTTACAATAGCCCTTCAAAAGTTTTCTTTGGTGGTTTTCTTGGGTTTGTAAACATACTTTGGAGTTTCCAGTGAGTGAAAACTAGATATCATTTAGGTTTTTGGCAATATCCAGAATTGTAATACGTTCACAGGTCGTAGAATGTTCTTATGAAAGATGTCCAGATTTCATCATAATGTTGCTCAGAATTAGCTTTTGAAGTAACATGAGTCATACACATCTCATGCTTCTTTAGGAGGATGTCCACTAGCTCTCTCTGTGTTGTTTAGCTCCCCTGTTTGTGGCTCCAAATTGCACAAAAATTCAGCAACATCATATTAAAAGGGGCAATAGGTATAGGTATTAAAAAATGATACTGGTTTTCGTAGCAACTGTCTCATGTGAAATCCCACGTAAGTGTCAAGCATTGCAAATAAATTGATCTGATCTGTTTGCTGTCTCAAGTTATACTCATTACATTTACTTACTGTGAACATAGGACTAAATCTGATTTCATCAAGGATTTCTCTCTCTCTCAGAACGATTGCAGATTTTAAAGATTATCTGTCCTGCAAATAATGCCTTTACTTTTAAATTATCTCTGCATGTCACCAAAAAACAATACCTGCAGAATACTGCCTCATCTACAAAGCTGCTTTTTAGAATAAAATCACTGTTTAATTTCAGAGTGTGTGTATGAACATCTAGGCTCTTCCTATGTGAATCCACTTTCTGTGGTATGTTGTGATGAGAAAGTCAAGCAGCCAAGTCAAAAAGGTGATATTAAGATACAAAAGACTGTGATTATGAAGTTTCTCTGTGTGTATATCAATTTTACAATATATATTTTTAATATATGTACACATATATTAGAATAAATATTTTTTTAAGGTGAGGAAGTCAGTCTTAAAATCAGTTGGGAGGTAATAATACATTTCTGGAATTTAGTTTACTGTGTGATGATTGAAATGGTTAATCAAAGTAAGCAACAGAACTCTGCATACCAAACACAAATTCTGGAAGTCTGATCGCTGTGTTTGAATTCTTGCAGCTGCACTGCAGTGTTGTTCACCACCTGCCCCCGTAGATCCTCTGACTGGCTGTGCTAGTCCTGCAGCTTCGACGTACACCCACTGCAGCTTTTTCCAGGTGAGTGTAGCATACTGAAATCAGGTGAAAGCGGAGGAGACACTATGAATGAACTGTAGGTTTATGGACTTCTGGAGTGAAGGGTATAAATTTGAAAACTGATCTGCTTGAGAAAGTGAAAGTAATATGGTTTACGAATATCTACTTCAAAGAACCACTGAACATGAAACGGGTAGTTTTGTAATTCAAGTTAGGTTTCAGGGTAGCAGCATAGTGGGTGTCCTCATCAGTGGAGTGTTTTTTTCCATATAAGTTTTTTGCCTGACTTCACCAGAATTCGTTTTAGTTAACGAATATATGTTTATCTTTGAAGAATGTCCTTGCCTGGACAAAAAGAGTTTCTTTAACATTACGAAAATACTGCTCCACTTTTTTGTCCCAGACACCTTTCTGCCGTCCTAAGTTTCATTTGATGAATGAGAGAAACTAAGGTGACTTTTGGAATTGGCCCCACCTCAGAGATGTCTTATTAAAGATAACTACAGTACTTACTGTTAATGCTTTATATAATTCCGGTGGAAACTGCACCTTGTTTGGAGGGCCTGGCTTATCAAATATCAAAAGATCTGAAGTAAAAATGCAAGGGCTTCCTTTTCTATTACAGCATAATGCATATACTTTTTTTTTCCCCTCACAGAGGACAAGCAAAGCAAGTTATGCTTATGTATGTTGAAAAAGGGTTGATGCACCCAAGCTTGATCATCCAGTTTCCTGTCTTGCAAATATCAACCTTTGTCTTTTATTCATGATTTTTTTTTATATAAACTTATCCAAGATGGCCAGGTTATGGCCAGGATAATATGTTGGTGTAAGGATATAAATAGCCACTGGCCAATCATGCCATTGATACTCTAGTATTTATTTTTCACACAGTGCATCTCTGTCCTCTCACTTTCATCATGAGCTGCTTTTTCATCCAGGACATGAGGATCAGTCTCAGTGATGGGAAGTCACAATCAAATAACTTCTTATCTCGGAAGGCTGAGATCAATGTTTGGGATAGCAAATCATTCCAAAGGAATCATCAAGGGTGGTGTTGTGGCTAGATGGAAAGATAATATAAACACACTGCCCAAATTGGAGAAGCAAGTCCATGGGCAGTGTGTGGAGTCAAAAGAGATGTAGGCCACTTACTAGCGGATGCTTTGATAACACAACTCTAATCAGGGAACTCCCAGCCAAAAGCTGCTGGTACCTCTGGGCAGAGATTGCTGGAAGGTAATCCTCTGTGTGAGCAGCCCAAAGGCAAGCAGTGGCATAGATCAGTTTTACCAGCTCAGTAACTGGCTGTCTCTGAGCAGGATAACACAAATATCACACAGAATGGATCAACAGGACTTCCTGAGATTTCTGAGTCTAGATCTAGCATAGATCATTTCTCCTGGAACAGGGTGACAGGGGCTGTGCAGATGGTACAGAAGACAGCAGTTTGCCTGGGGTTCTCACTGAGCTGTGGGGAATAATCAGTTTACCTTTTGCGTGCTCTGGGGTAGCTACTTCCCCAAACTTCTGCTGAGGGATGCAGCCAGCCAGCTACAGTATTGATCATCCTGCCCTGTTTGTGTACTGATCATCAGTAACCACTTGCACAAATCCTCAAAAGCAGTAAAATTAATCAATCATCTCTGGCTGACTAAGCATTTTTATTGTTCTTCAGAAAAAATAGAACTTTTGCATTGTATCGTTCCACTCAATATCTTCCACCAGTTGCAGGAATTCAGTGCAATGCTGTTGAAGGGTGGTCTGCAGGGCATTTTAGGCTGTTTGATCACGCTGTAGCCTGCTAGATACCACTGGCAAAGCCTATACAAAACTGCCGGACCAGTCCAGAAGACAGTGAGCCACATCAGCACGCTGGCAGTCAGCAAGGTGATTATCAGCCCTGTTTCTGTTGGATCCAGACAGTGCTTTGTGGTCTCAGAAGGAAAAACAGGCACTGTTGGACAAGTAAGCCAAAACCTTGTGCTAGTCCTTACCGAGTCTTGCGGAGAGCATCACTTAAGTTTAGGAGAGATTAAGACAGGTACAGTTTCTTGGGGCTTGGAGGCCAGCTGCTGGGCTTGTACAGTACACACCTGACCTGCTGCAACTGTTAGGTGACCCTGACTGGAACATGGGCAGACAAGGCCAGTAAGTAAATGTCTGTCTGCCTGCGGTTTGCTCTCCAGAAAAAGCTACAGAGAATTACCGCATGGAATGGCAAGGGGATACAGATGATTATACCCAGACATGGTGGCTGATTAGGGTATCTCTCTTCTTGTCGGGTTTCTGAAATCAAGGTTTCAGAGATTTGTATTACACTCTCATCACAATTGGTTGCAAAACTGGGAGCTCAGGTACAGCTTCATGCTCTTTTTCATTTGGGTTCTCCTGAAGCGGGATGCGGATCAGTGTGATGAATCGGTATCCTTGGATAGGAATGAGTCTTGTGAGAGAAAACTCCTGCTATCTTCTGCAACAGCAGTTCTGGCAACTCACAACCATTGCTGCAGTATTTCCCTGCTGCTTTATCATAGGTGTGAACCGAGTCTACATACTGGATTTTAGTGATTTTTTTAAATTATTATTATTTTTTCCTTTTTTTAACTAGCAGCCCCGCTATTTGATTGTTGCTATTAGCATTGTTATTAAACTGTCAGTATTTCCTTGTGGAACTGAAGCAAGAGGTAACTGGAAATGGAAGAAATAAATGTGAGAGAAAAAAGAAGAAGAAAAACTTTCCTGACCTTAAAAGCAGTCCTAAGTAGTTTGCTTTTATTTGTAATAAGAATGATAATCAGCCATGTTATTTCAAAATGAAATCGAATCTGAACTACTTCTGAATGGTTGCCCAAGCACTCAAGCCAGATTGTTTTAGTCCTAGCAGTCCCTGAAAAGGTCTCCTTGTGCTTTACTCCCTGTGTACACTATGCTAATCTTAGAAGTGAAATGCCCGGCTTCCGTTTCGCTTTTACTAAATTAGACCATTTTCCTCTTGAGCTCAAATGACCAGCAAACTATTAGTCTTTTGAGTCCTGACTTCTCAATCTTTAATCACTTTTCATTGCTTCATTGCTGCCTCCCTCCCATCCTTGTCTGTCACGTCTCCTCTAGATAAACTAGAAGGATTTAAATTGCATCTTTGTGTGGGCACTTTCTCCTATTGGAAACGCGTACAGGATCCTGTAGTGCATCCAAGAAGGTGATACGTGTTATAACAGCTTCAAGCTGAGGTTCCCTAAGAAGAGGCAGAAGAAGTTGCAGTGTGGGTTTGTTTGTTGGTTTGTTTGCTTGTTTGTTTTTGGCAGGGATGCTCTCATCCCTGGACAGTTGACTTGGTAACCCAGATCTTACTTAAAATCCTGTCTACTTAAGACAATAAACAAGCAATGCAACAAAAGTGAAACACCTTGTTAATATTCTAAAAAATGCAACTGAAAAAAATATAAAATGAAAGGAACTATGTTTAAACCTATATAATAAAAATATAAAGGTGGCTTGCCTTTAATGAAAAGACTTTGCTTAACTTAACCTAAATTTCTCAAATTCCAGGTTTTATCTTCCCCTCCTTCCCCCACCCTCCAAAGTTTATGGCTATCTGCAGACTGGCACATCTACATGAATCCTCAACAGGACTTGACTTCATACAGCCGGAGGAAGGGATCTCATCTCTTTGTGGTATTTCCTTCAGGGACTTCTGATGTTCATGCTGCTGAGAGACCAAATCCTTCACTGGCATTTGATCTGATATGGCTTTCCTAGTAGGTGATCCTGTGGCTTCCTGTTCTCTAATTTATTCATCTATGGAAGTAGCTTTTTATTAACCATTACCTCAGCTAGAAGGTCTGAGGATAATTGGGCACTAAGGACTTCATACTAGATCTCTTCCAAAATAAGACTGTATTTTAAGAATACCTGAGTTTCTGTTCAGCATCATTATATGACTCGTATTTGTCAGAAGAAATTACCCCAGTGTCCTTTAACTCTGAGTCATCTCCAGAAGAAATAGCAGTACAGACACTGGCTGTTAAAATGTGATTTTTCATTTAACTTGGGTAGGACTTGCTGCTTTTGAAAAACTCTTCATTGTCTTTTTTCTGCTTTAAACGTTCTTTGATTTAAATGAATTCTACTAAAAAAAAATTATCATTGGATTGCTGACTGTGTCCTGTCATCTTCTGATGTCATTACAGTGAAATATTTTAGTAGCGTTCAGATCTGCTCTGTGGTGGCAAAGGCAGCCTCTACAGGTTCTCCAAGAAGTGTATCTGACCTGAAGATCTATAGGGCTTTTATATAGATTTATGTAGGCTTTGAGTCGTGCATTTGTGTGTCTCCTGTGTCGTGACAGGAGTGTCCAGATGTGAGGCTGTGACAGACAGGGCAGTTCTACAGTATTTGTTTTCATAGGTATCTGAACTCCCATTCATTTTGGGACTGGAACATCCCTGGGAATCACCCCTTGTGTGGGTGCGTATATGGACAATCACTTGAAGAGGAAAAAGATGTTATTGGTAAGTAACTGTGAGTTCCTCAAGTTGTGTTGTCCATATGCACGTTTACAGCATACGTACCTTTTTCTCTTGCTTAAAAATCTTGTGGCTTGTGCTGGTTTTGTACACAACAGGAATGCTTGAGCTTTAGAAGAACTGAAGGCAGGTAGATTTGCTCTATCAGTTTCTATCACGTAGCTGGCATGTGAAGGGGGTGGTTCTAATGTACCTCCACAGGTCCTACTAAGACTAGAAGTCTCTGGTTTGAATGCTTGGGTATACTTATACCTGCAATGCAAAGGGTATGCAGACAATGCATGTGAAGGAGTACACAGTTACCGGTAAGTAACCTTCCTTTCTCTCCAGGGTAGCAAGCATGGCCAGAGTAAGGTGGTTAATGAAAAACAAGACAAAGCAGTAGCCTTTTTTTTTTTCTTCATTAAATCTGCTGTTTTAACTGAAAATAACAGACAATCTTTCGAGCTTTTGGATAAACGAACACTTCAGTTGATTGCTCAGGTTCATTTCCAAAGCCTTACAGAACCAATACACATCCTGTCACTGTAACTTTTTGATAGTCACTGTATTTTGTTTCTTCCAGAGTCCTCCAATGCAGTCACCTTATGCAGCTGAATTTCTGCCCTCTAACTGGCCTTGTAATACAGCTGATGAAAACAAGAAGACGGAAGTAAATCTTGAAGCTGTGTTTCAGATTGTTGATGAGATGCATTCATCACCCAAAGCTGAAATGGTGAAAGTGGAGCCTGTGGAGAGCCCGTGTTCAACCCCCCAGTCTAACAGAGGTCAGCCGCTGCTGGTTAATAGTGAGAATAGTGATACACCTTCTTCAACTGAGGAAAGCCAACTGGAATCTCTTACTCCTGTAGCTTCAGACACATCATTTGTGATGGGAGCAGATCAAGCAGCAACTTGTTCTCCATCACAGCCTTTTGAATTTCTTTGTGCTACCCATACCACTGCATCTGTAGAAAGTGCTGTTGCTGAAATAGTGCAAGAATCTGTGACCACACAGGAAGCATGTGAAAAACTGAGAGAACAACCAGGTCACTGCTCAACTCAATCCTTCATAATGTTTGTTCAGGAAGGACCATTCAGTCCAGAGCAGGTAAGGGGTAAAGGGAGATAAACCAACATCTTTTCTGAGACAACTATATTCGATAGTAGTGCTAGGGTCTGGACCGATAGCTTTTTAATATTCTTGCCTGCTTAAGAACTAAAGGCTTCTTTAATTAAGCTTTTAATGGACAGTGAAGGCTTTGCTTGGTAAAGCAAGATCTAAAAAAGAAGAGAGAATGGAAAAGTATCCCACGTTAATGAGCATGAGATGCGTTAGCCTCTGTTGGCCAAGTTAGGGTGCTCATTTGCATGGGAAAAATACATAGTGCAGGTGTATTCATGGTGATGAAGTGGCAGCTTTTTTAGGTTATAACATACTATCTTTGATCTTAAATAAAAAACAGTATTTTGAGAATTGCCACTGAAGGCAAAGATTTTTGTTTAAAATTTAGATAAATGGTTAGATTGTTTCTGACAAACAGTTACTAAGTTTCTGTTTTCTGTGGAAAATATAATTTATTGACACTTGAATGGTATAAAGCATCTTCATTTGTTTATACTTTGTGGTGTCTGACAAGCTGTGATTGTACTTTGGTTTACCTGTGCCTGGTCTTCCCTGTATACAAAACTGTAAGACTCATGTGCAGTGAGGGGCATTCGAGATGTTACTCTGTTAAGGCAGCAAATGCATGCTCTGTTTTTTTTTGTTTTGAAAACAAAGTAAAAGCAAGAGATTGACTGCATCTGTTTCTGCTGCATGAGACCCGCCTTGCACGTAGGCACTCAAAATTGCATTTTTGTGTATGTGTTGAAGCTACTGTTCTGTTGTGCTATCAGTATCTTGATGACTTCGGTAAAGTTTATAGCTTGGAAACCCTCACCTGGTGCAAACGTGATTGGTCTTAGTCATCTTCCTCTTGGGTGTCTTTATAGAAAGAGATGTATATTCTGATCAAGTCTCTGCAAAGCTCAAGCCTAGACTAGGCTGTTCTGCTCAGTACTGCGTAGAGAAGAGCACGTCTTTGTGCTAGTGCCTGCGGAGTCGGCAGTACTCCTTTATGAGTGTCCACTCATTATCTTAAGTGTTGACTGCACTTTAAACCAACGTTTGAAGTGCGTTTTTAGCAGTGTATTTCTCCATTGTTGAAGGCCTTTGGAGTTTGTGGTCCAAACTCCCCTGTTAAGAACTGAGGGATTAAGTGTGTGAACCACAGAGTTGTTTGGGGGGGAGGTGTTTTGGTTTTGAGGCCCCTTTACTGGTGTAATTGGTGAGAATCCCGATTTTGGTCCCGGTCTGTTTATCTGGACGTTAACTGGTTAAATAACTGGGGCTTATTCTGTGTTGAAGAGGAATTCAGGGACTATTAGGCCTTTTGTTTGACAGATTCCCTCTTTTTGACAGAAATATTCCTTCTTTTACTAGTTTCCTCTTCCCAAACTCAGAGGCAAGGTTAACTTAACCCCGCAGCTGCCTCTGTCTAGTGGTGTTTCCAGAGCCTGGGATCATGGCAGGTGCAGAACTCTCCAGAGAAGGCTTCTGTGCCTGTACTCCCATCAGGCTCCTACACAGTTTGCTGTCTTCCTTATCCCTGAATCTGGAAGCCTCCTGAGGCTTTCAGTAGCTGTCAGTGCCATGTAATTCAGAGCAAGCTTACGACAGAATAGTGGCTGTGCACAGAAGACAGTTTTATTCCTCTGTGTAGCAGCCCAGGAGGAGCAAATTCCTCCAGTGTTAATACAAGAACATCAAAACAGCTCTGCTGGGTCAGATGAAAGGTCCGTCTTGCCCAGTGTCAAGTCTCAGGACAATGGCTGTAATCTGATACATAGGGAATCATAGAATCATAGAATAGTTTGGGTCGGAAGGGACCTCTAAAGGTCATCTAGTCCAAGCCCCCTGCCATGGGCAGGGACATCTTCAACTATATCAACAGTTGCTCAGAGCCCCGTCCAACCTGACCTGGAATGTGTCCAGGGATGGGGCATCCACCACCTCTCTGGGCAACCTGGGCCAGTGTTTCACCACCCTCAGCGTAAAACATTTCTTCCTTCTATCTGGTCTAAATCTACCCCCCTTTAGTTTAAAGCCATTCCCCCTTGTCCTGTTGCAACAGGCCCTGCTAAAAAGTCTGCCGCCATCTTTTTTATAA